GGTGGCTGCAGTCTGCCACCCGCACACTCCAGCTCATGGGCGCCACACCCGAGACGTGGGTGGGTCACCTCTCCACGCGCCTGGGTGGCGGTCCTTTCGAGGCCTGGGAGAATTTCTATGCCTACTCCCTTCGTGAGGGTCGGACTCCGACCTTCGTGGATTTCCAGGCGTTCCTCGAGGATCGCTTCGGAGCCCGATACGACGTGACTGACGCCTTCGAGCGTGTCGTCACTACACGCTGGTCCGGCTCTGGTGGCACTGCCGGCCTGGATCACCACATCTAGGTCTTTCAGGACGCCCGCCTCGTTTGCGACGTGGCGTTCCTCTTTGAGGCTGCCCTTATCGATCATTTCTTGGCCAGCCTTCCGCTCGAGTACCGTTCCGAGCTATGGCGGTACGAGTTCACATCGGCCCCACAGGCTTACGAAGCCGCCAGGGACCACCAGCGGATGCGAGCCCGTCTTCACCCCGCCTCCTCCCAGCCCCAGCCCACGGGCTACGCCTCCTCCTCCTCTCACGGCACTTCCCAGCGCCGTTCCCCTTTCCGTGGTCGTCCCCGCCGTTCCACGCAGCAGGGCCGCCACTTCTCGCGCCGCTTCAGCGTGCTGGAGTATGGTGAGCAGGACGCTGTTGCCCCACTGTCATCTGAGGGYGACCACAGCGACGACCTCGATCTCTGCGAGGCYGTCCACTATCACTTGGAGGAYTCTACCCTCCMTGCAGCTGAGCGCCTTCAGCTCGCGCTCTCTGCCCTCTCTCGGGCACGCAGCCGCCCCGGTCACGCTGGCGCATCGCCCCCCGAGGTCCCTCAGGAGGAYCTCCCTCAGGGCTTCGTCCCTCCTCGTGGTGTCCTTTCCCCTGAGGAGCGCGCGGCTATTCTGGGCCGACGTGGGTGTTTGCGCTGCCGCTTGGACGGTCATACCTCCTCGTGGTGCCCTTACACTACCGCCCTCGACCGCCACTACGCTGACCTTTCTCGTCAGCGTCGTGCTCAGTCCCCCCCCGACGCCTCATGTCCCTGCGACGCCTCCTAGCCACGGTGCAGTGTACACCTGCGCCCTCCTCAGTAGTGGGCTTCCCGACATCTCCGTCGCGGTTCGCCCCTCTCGCTACTGGAGTTGAGGTATCGCAGGACTCGACAGAGTGTACTCAGCCCTCTGTCACAGTGCCGTCGGCGCCTCCGCAGATCACCGTCTCCCCTCCTCCCCCGCCGCGACTACTGACGCGTCGAGCCATTCGCTCAGCCCGTTGCAGCGAGCAACTTGCTACTCGCGAGGACGTTGTGTCCTCTCTTCTGGTCTTGAGCATGCTCCACGCTTGTCAGGAGCAACTCACCCTCCATGTCGCTGCACTGCGTCGCCTTCTCACCATCCTAATCGCACCCTCCCGATCATCCCGGTACGACTCGGGACCTCCATGAGGGTGTACTCAGCGCTGTGGGATTCCGGTTCTCAGGGCGATTTCATTCACCCACGCGTGGTGAAGGAAGCCCGCTTACCCACGACAGGGTCTCCGACTCCCATCTCCGTTACCCTAGGGGATGACAAGATCCAGTGCTTCTTCGATCAGACGGTCACCGACCTCCCCTTCTTCCTCACTCTCGAGCCGACCGAGCGTTCCCCGGCGTCTCGTCGCCACCGCTCCTCTGCACATTTCGATGTGATGGAGACGGGGTACGACTTCATTCTCGGCAGTCCGAGGTCTCGTCGGTTCCGCAGCACCGAGGCCGATTGGGCGACCAACACTTTCGTTCTCAAAACGAAGTGTGGACAGACGTATCGCGTACCTTTCATAGGTACCACGGCGACACCACGCCCCGATCCTCCTCCCCCGGAACCTTCAGTGCCCACACCATCTCCCTCTATCACTGTCACCTCGCCTCGGCAGTTCGCTCACTTCATTCGACAGGACGACGTCACCTTCTTTATGGTGGACGTGACGGATCTCTTACACTATGATCCACCCTGTCCCGACGCCGAGCTCATCCCTCTGGACCCAGATCCCCCCTCTATCTCCATGGCTCCCATCTCTACTTCCGTCCCTCCGCCGTCCGTCGAGTCCACCCCGCCGTCGAGGGCTGACGCTGACGCTGCGGAACTCGCACGGTATACGGCTAACTTGGAGCCCGCAGTTCGTGACCTCATCCGAGAGTACCACGACGTTCTCCCATCGTCATTCTCGTACGCCGGCATCCCACCGATGCGTGACGTCGAGCACTCCATTCAGCTCGTGCCTGAATATCGTGTTCACCACCAGGCACCCTACAGACTCTCGATCCCCGAGGCCACCGAACTCAAGCGTCAGCTTGAGGAGCTCCTGAGACTGGGTTTCATTAAACCCAGCAACTCCCCGTGGGGTGCACCCGTCCTCTTTGCTCGCAAAGCGGATGGCACTCTTCGTCTCTGCATCGACTACCGCGGCCTTAACCGCTACACGGTTAAGAACGACTACCCCATTCCTCGTTCCGATGAGCTGTTCGACCGCCTAGCAGGCAACCGCTTCTTTACGAAGATTGATCTTCGTAGCGGTTACCATCAGATGCGCATCGCTGCAGCCGACCAGCCGAAGGCCGCGTTCCGCTCGCGATTCGGCCACTACGAGTTCACGGTGATGCCATTCGGCCTCACCAACGCACCCGCTACCTTCCAGAGGGCAATGAACGACATCTTCAGGGACATCCTGGAGCAGTACGTTCTCGTCTACCTCGACGATATCCTGGTCTATTGTCGTACCCTTGAGGAGCACCTCAGACACCTCCGCGACGTCCTTGACCGCTTGCGCAGA